TGAGACGCCATTGTGGGTCATTGATGATCAGCAGAGTGTATAAATCTTTTGCAATTGTAAAAAAAACTAAATGACAATTGAAAATTAGTGTATTTAAATATGAACAATATACAGAAGATACTTTAAAATAAAAAGTGTCCTATTAAACAATTACAATTTTTTATTAACACGTTCTGTGCCAAGCCCTTTTCACTTGACTTGTCATTCAGGTATTCAGCCATTTAATTTTGTTTGAATAAAATCAATTATTACATGTAATTATTAATTATTGTTAATGTAACAATTTAAACAAACTTATGTGCATTGTTTTATACAGCATTTTGTACAATGCATCAATATTTTAATAGGAATATTCTTTTACAGAATTCAATTTGTTATAAACATATATTTACAGGCCATTTAATTTTGCTTGAACAAAATCAACCATTACATGTAATTATTAATTACTATAAATGTAAAAATTTAAACAAACTTATGTGCATTGTTTTATACAACATTTTGTACAATGCATCAATATTTTAATAGGAATATTCATTTAAAGAATTTAATTTGTTATAAACATATATTTACAGGCCATTCTTGTTATTGAAGCCATATTGTTTGAACTAAATTAACCATTACATATAATTATTAATTACTGTAAACCTAACAATTTAAACAAATTTATGTGCATTGTTTTATACTGCATTTTGTACAATGCATCAATATTTTAATAGGAATATTCATTTACAGAATTTAATTTGTTATAAACATATATTTACAGGCCAGTCTTATTATTGAAGCCATATTGTTTGAACAGGATTAACCATTACATATAATTATTAATTACTGTAAACCTAACAATTTAAACAAACTTATGTGCATTGTTTTATACAGCATTTTGTACAATGCATCAATATTTTAATAGGAATATTAACTTACAGAATTTAATTTGTTATAAACATTCATTTTCAGTGCATTCAATAAATATGTTTAATGGTAAGTGTACCATTGGTGGTACACATGGCATGGAACGTGTTAACATCAATTTATGATTATTTTCTCAATTATATTCATTTAAATAATAAAAATAATACTGTGACATCCTGTAAAAAACATGATTTCAGTCAAAGTGTTCAACACCACTTTCTTATTAACAGAAATAAACCAAACAAAAGTTAATAAATAAAGTAAAATAATAACAATAATAATAATAATAAACAACAAAACAAATCAGTTCATTTACAGCAAGTAACAAAATTAAATAAACAATCTTTAAAAAAAAATTAGAATAAATAAATAATCGTAAAAAAAAAAAAAAGTAGAAAATAAATGGTCACATTTTATAAATGAATTAACTGAAACTAATTACACTGCTATAAAACAAATTGATCTTATTAATAAATCAATTTTGTAATAGAAAAGAAAGAAAAAAAAGAATTATCTTCTGTATAAATAACAGAAATATGATATATATATATATATATATAAAATCTATGTTTAAAAAAAGAAAACCAAAAAAAAAAACAAAAAATATTAGAAACGTCCAAACAAAAGAAGCTTCTTCGTCGCCGTTGTGTGCAAAGTTGTTCTTCACGTTCGTAACCTTTGTTGATCTTGAAACCTAAAAAATGGTCATCCTCGCATAATACTTTTTTATTTCATCTCATTTCTTTACTCTTCTTACACTTACATTTTGTTCCCCTCTCATCATTCATGTCATTTTTTGTTTGTTTGTTAATTATTTGATTAATTATCTTCAAGACATCGTCCCTCATTACACGAATGGACCGAACGAAATTCATGTAATCGACGTTTAAACACGTTTAACGTCACACGAATTCTAATGAGAATTCTTGTCAGGCCACATGTGTTACTTTGTATTGAAATGACTGTACTTGTGTCAGTCATTAATGACTGACACGGCTTAAACGTAAAGTTTATTGTCAGTCATCGATAACTGACGTGGCGTTCAACGTGTTAAAGTTCATAGAACTTTTGTAACTACGACAAAATGGATAAGATAAATACATTAAAATTGTAGAACTGTAGTAAAAGAATAAAAGAAGAAGAAGAAGGTGAAGAAATAATGAAAAAAAAAAAAACAAATAAAAATAAAAGTAATTCATATCATTAATATCGTAGAAAGAAACGAAATGGGAAGGTCTACGTTCGTTGAATTTTTCGAAACTGCCATAATTTAATAAGCTATTCATAATTAATTAATTAATTAATTAATTATTATTATTATTACGTTCAATTATAAATTAAGTTTAGCGATTAAACGACGAATCTGTAAATAAATGCTAATATGTAGGATCCTCATTGTAGTGCATACTTTTTAAAAAAATAAAATAAAGAAATGAAAGAATAAAAATAAAAATAAAAAATAAAATGAGACTAATATAATTAAAACAAAAAAAAAATTAATTATAAAATAAAATGAAAGATAAAAATATTACACGGCTAATTATATCAATCGTGTTATCGTTGCCGTTATCATCGTCATCATCATCGTCATCGTCGTCGTCGTCGTCGTCGTCGTTCATCGTCGTCGTACGATCAAATTATTCTAACAAAATAAAATAAAATAAAATTAAAATAAAAATAAAAATAAAAACAAAACCACCATGGAAATTCAATTCTTGCGAATGAATTTGAACGTACTTATGCGCATATGTAATTGTATTTAAGTATATACATATATATATATATATTATACTGTAGCAAAATTTTGTTATAAACAATTTTTTGTCAATTAGATTATTAGCTTTTCAATTTCTTTTTTTCTTCCGCTTTTAAACGATACTAATAATAATAACAAAAATCTGTCAGAGATTTAATTAGACATTAGTCCAGGGGTTGGCAACCTTTTGAATCGGAAGAGCTTAGAATTACAATTTACAAAATTTCAGTTTTTCAAGAGCCACAAAATTTAAAAATAGTACTCGCATAAATGAAATTAGTTTTTTGATTAAAAAAAAAAAAAAACTAATCTATTTATCCATCAGTGCCTAATCCTCGTTAATCGATTCAGAACGATTTTAAACTTTTTCTTAACTAAAGAGCCGCAGTTTCACATCCAAAGAACTGCACGTGGCTCGCGAGCC